TATAATTCAAAGGTAATCTTGTTCTAGCTCTTCTCTCAAAATATATAAGTTTCTTTTCTATATAATTCAGAAATATAATCCTATAGCATTCATTCGATTTTACATTAGTATTTTGATTTAATATAATCTTTGTATAATATTTCTTCTATATATTTTATAATCTTTACTTTTTTATATTTTTCTAATTATATTTACAATTTATTATTTTATAATATATATATTTAATTTTCAAATGATTAATTAATATATTCTAAAGTTTAAGCTAAATATACTATAGTATATTAAGGTATAAGATCTAACTTCTTTAAAGTTATATAACATTTGAATTCTTTAAGCTTAAATATAATTTTAATAATATAAATATAACAATCCTATTTGAAAATAATTAGGATTTTATACTAAAATGTTTATTGATTCTTTTTGAATACATAAACTTATTTAATTAATTATTAATATTTAAAAGGGCCTAGGAATAATCAACAATTAGAACGCTTCTTTTAAGATATAAATGAATAGTATAAAGTATATTTGATCTAACAAATCAAAAGATTCAATTGTAAAGCAATTTTATCTTTTATAAAGTTAATATATTAATATAATATCTATATCCGAAATCAATTATTATATAAACAATAATATTATATTTTAAATATAGATATTAAAATTATAAAATCCATATAAATTCAATTAAGATTAATAAAATGAAAATGTAAAAGTAGTTATTTTTATAAATATTTTTATTAATCACTTTCTCGAATCTACTAGAATATCGAATAATTAGGGGTACACTTATTTATCCTCGAGACTAAGTATAGGGCTTTAGATCTTACTATTAAGTGGTCAGTTCTGTAATAGATTATCGGTGGGTCCGATGAACTAGCGACCCTTCAGACACATCAAATTAGGACCCCAACAGTTCATCATGGACATCATTTCTTCCTTATATTCATTCATGAATATCTTCATGGAAGACAAAGAGACTATGTCCAAAAATATCAAGAATTATTCCATGTATATTCAGTACTCAAACCCAATGTCATTTTCTCGCCTATATCCAATTAGACATCCCATCAAACACATCACTCCAGACTGTTTTTTGCGTTGTGATGGCGCTTTCTAGATCCTCGATTACACCGGTTTTGATGAAACAGGACTCTAAAGTCTCATTCATGGAAACCAACCTCGACTACTTTGAACGGCAATCGGCTTGGGGTGGTGGATCACGGCCGTCCAAAAGAGCTAGAGCGAGCAAACCTAAGGTTAAGTCAGGCTGCATTACATGCAAGTGAGTACTTTCTATCTATTTTTCTACTTCTTGGACATGTATTCGCAGATATCTGACAACTACCTCTCAGGGCTCGTCGTGTTAAGTGTGATGGTAAGTTGTTCCGCAATTCTAAATGCAATGGACTTTTCACAATTCCCTTCAAGGTACCAGAATTGAGCAGCATCTTAATTTTTCCTTCCAAGCTACTAGAAATTTACATAATTTACGTCTAATCCTTTCGAATTATCAACAGAAACGAAACCGCAATGTCTTCGATGTCAAAAGTTCGGACGAATATGCGATGGATACGCTCACGAGATTCGATCACGAGGGAATATGCTGCCAATCCAACCTAGAATTCCAACGACAGATATTTATACTCCTTGTATTTCCCTTGCAGCAACAGAGGAGGAAGGCCGGTACTTCCAATATTTCTGTGATCGAACAGCGTATCAATTGCCTGGTTTCTTTGATCCCACCTTTTGGAACCACATCATTCTTCGAGAGAGTCACAATGTCACTCCAATTCGCCATGCAGTAATCGCTATTGCAGCCCTTAACAAAGCTATTGAGGAAGCACCTGGACCGCATTTGAAAGTCAACGTCATTCAAGATATAAACAAAAAACATCTTGAATTTGCCGTCTTACAACATCTCAAGGCTATTCAAGCCTTGAATCAATACATATCTAGCTCCAATGGTCCTCAGTTGAGAACAGCCCTTATGGCGTGTTTGCTTTTTGTTTGCTTTGAAACCATTCAAGGAAGCTATGCTTCTTCGGTGCAGCAAACTTATGGAGGCTTGAAGTTATTGAGAAGTTATTATGCCGGGAAGCCCGGATCGAAACCATGGATTCCGCGACGGATCTCAGCAGGGTTCAATACGAACCCCCAAACTGATAAAGTTATAGCCAAAGTTCAAAGTCGGCCAGGTATGGATAGCTCCTCCAAATCAGCAACTATCTCATCACATATTGAAGAGTATCTGGAAACGGAAAAGCCGTCACTTCAATCCGCGCATACCCCCACGATAGATAGGACACCCACACCACCACAAAGGGATTATAGTCCACGACTTGATGCCATGACTATTCCATCACATTACAAGTCAAACTTAACATTGGAACAGCAACTTTCTCTATCAGGTACACCGGTTCAAAGTTATCCAAGTGCGTACCATACCCCTAGTGAATATATACCCCCGAACGAACAACAGTCAGACATTGCAATGCCAATTGCAATCACTAGCAGAAGGCCGTCATCCAATCATTCAATTTCCAGCACCCGCACTCCAGAATCACTCCATACTCCTCCTTCGATGGGCAACACACCACCGCCTACGACCTATAGATCTTCCCAGTCCCCACCTGTGCTCATGAATCCTCGGAAACGGCCTCTTCAATCGAGAAGTCCTACTCCTCCCATTTTAAACAACGACTTTACGCTGGAGGAAAATATTATACAGGCATTCGTCCGCGTAGATGGCCAAGGGTGTAAGTGTGCTTTCATTTTTACAATATTTTTCCAGAATTCATTCCAACCAAGAATTAACAGATCTGGACAATTCTTTTTTTCTATCTTACCTCTGTAACTTGTCACATGCTGACTGTCTTCTTCTTGTAGTGTTCTTCGGTATGACACCGGGTATTCCTCCCCTACTTTGGGACATTCATTCTGCGCATCACATCCCCATTCCAAAAGCGTTCACAAGTTTTTCTGAAGCTCAGCACTGTTGGGACTTTTTAATGGACCGAACACTTCAATACTATCGAAGAACGCTTTTCGATAGGAAATTCGCTAGTGCAAAAAGTGACACCCCTAGCGAAATAGCACGGCAATATGCAGATTATGCCACAGGACTAGATGATTTCGAGCAAGCCTTCCAGCCCATATTAAGATTGTCTATATCCCCTGAAGGGAAGGTGCTTAACCAGGCCGCTATTGTCCTTATCACACATCTCAAAGCTACAGCCATAACACTATCGGCTGTGACGTCTACCTCAGAAATGGTTTATGACTCTTTCCTGAATGAGTTTCGATACATAGTTCGAGCTGCGGAAAAGCTTGTTACAGCATGTGAGGAAAATCCCTCGGCTGTCAATTCATCACGATTTAGCTTTGATATCGGGATTGTTCCACCATTACATGTAGTAGCCACCAAATGTAGGGAACCAAACATCAGAAGAAAGGCAATTGATTTACTTTTTAGAAGTCCAAGACAGGAAGGAATGTGGGATGGCGTATTAAGTGCTAGGATTGGTCGGTGGATAATGAGCTGCGAAGAAGATGGATTGGATGTGTCTAGGAGACTCGAGCCTCCCAATACACAGCCAGACTACCGCAGCCAGAGCTTCCAGTATGGGGAACCAGTACGATTGTACGATGGTGTTCTATCGCCAGGATATTGGAACAATGGCGAAACAATTAAGGATAGAGACTTGATCCAGGAAAACTTTGCACCCTATTTATCACAAAGGCAAAATCCAGTGCCACGAAATTCTTCGCCATATACCCAAGCTCATACACCGCCCATCGGGGAACACTTTTCAATGCCTCGACAAGAAAGAGTCTGGATGGTACCAGAAGATAAGCGCTTTCAATTAGTAGTTGTGGATTTCCATATGCCCGATCGTTATATTATGGTTAAGTGTAAGAAATCCTTACAGAACAAAGATGGTACACGAGAGGAAAGAGAATCCATTATTGCTTGGTGAATTATCATAATGATACGCTACTTGAGGTATAGTATCATTGAGAGTTGTGGCTATGAAGCTTTTGACGCATTGTCTTGGAGTTCTAGCGCTGCAAAATGGTGTGAAATAAAGGATGAAGTTTGGGAATAAGAAGACTTCATATGAAATAGTTCTGGGCGTTCAAATACGCGAAACTATTCCTAGATACAATCAGACTACTATAATATAAGCATGAAAAGATTTCCCATCTCTTAAAGTAATTGGAAGTAGATCAAAAAGCTCTGAGGAAGAGAATGCCTACTTACTAAGAAAAGTCTCAATTGTACATCATATTCAAGAGAAACCACGTGATCGGCATGACCTCGGCTTGGACAGGCCCAGAAATTATTGCCTAGCGGGGTTATGGATGCCTGAAGCGGAAGTTTAATCTCGAAGACGAGGCTTTTGATAAAAAGGTCAACAGCGATCGAAAGTTGAATTCCATTTTGGAAGATACAAGTTGAAAAGACTTTCACTTGCAACCACTTCAAACCACGAATCTTCAAATTGTGATCGAGAGTAATTTGAAGAAATTCTATCATCAAAATACATAGCATTTACCCCCTATCAAACCAGTTCAACAACATACCGTGCGCAAAGACGGACCAGCGCAATCCAACGAATACCCCCGAGTGAGATACCTAGGTAATCAAAATACCAAGTAATCTGCAACTTGCACACCCACAGCTCCACGTCGGTACCTCCTACTGGAGAGTCTCTGCCAGCATACACGACTGTTTTCTGGATCGATATAGGAACTGCGATACATTCAGCGCGTCATTGAAAGTGCCTTTCCTACGAAGCATTCGAGCTTTGGTATATTGGAGCGATCATAAGCCTCGCGTCACATTTTCTTCACTTTCACTCAACTGGCAACTCTGCTGCGTCAATCTTGATACTACTTGCCACGGTTTTTCAATAGACATTCAACATCAGGTTGGGTTTGGAACTTAAACCTAACTCAAGGTTATCCAGCTACCCCCCCCCCCCCCCCCCCACAAGATGTCTTCCTCCTCTGGAACTCCAGAATCCTGGATCTCTTCTTTCTGCGCATTATTGGGACATGAATACTTTGCAGAGATATCGGAGGAATTCATAGAAGATGACTTCAATTTGACAGGTTTACAAACACAAGTAGCTATGTATAAGGAAGCACTCGAGGTAATTCAATACATGACTCATGTATCTTGACAAAATGCTAACGTGAACCTATTATTAGATGATCTTAGATGTCGAGCCAGAAGAGGATGAGGACGAAGATGACGAAGAGGAGGATGAGGATGAGGATGCATCTATTGAGGGCGAGGATCGATCAGGACGTAAAGCTGCAGCCGAAAGAAGACATCAACGAATGGCAAGCGATCTATCAATTATAGAATCCTCCGCAGAGATGCTCTATGGTCTTATCCATCAACGATTTATCTGTTCTCGAGCTGGTATACAACAAATGTCCGAGAAGTACGACCTTGCCCATTTTGGTGTCTGTCCACGAACACATTGCGAACAAGTCCGCACTTTGCCCGTAGGATTATCTGATGTACCAGGCGAAGATACCGTCAAATTGTTCTGTCCCTCCTGTCTCGATGTATACGTTCCTCCGAATTCCCGATTCCAAACAGTCGATGGTGCCTACTTTGGACGAACTTTTGGGGCGCTCTTTCTACTCACATTCCCCGACTACGATATTAGTAAGAAGGGATTAGAAGCATTAAGTGGGCATGGAGGCAGAAGTTTACAACATTCCAACGATGAAGAAAAGGAAAAGATCAACGGTATGAATGCATCAAACCTTGCACCTGGTCTCGGCAAAGGCAAAGTCTACGAACCCAAAATTTACGGATTCAAAGTTTCGGAGAGAGCACGAAGTGGTCCTCGAATGGGCTGGTTGAGGAAACGACCAGATGAGGTTAGAGAGTTGGACGAAGCGACCGCATATGCGCTAGAGCATGCTGAGGATAGTGATGAGGGTATCGACGTTGCACCTGGTGGCGCCAGTGCGAGTGCTCGACTCAAGCCACGGAGGAGGAATCCAAGAGCAGTGACAAACAATGGAGGTAGCCCTATGAGCGTAGAAGCCAACGGAGAGATTTTTTCGTAGCATGATTCTTGATTGAAAAGATTGAGGGGTGGACGGAGGGGCGTTTAGGTGCTTTTAATCGTCGCGGCGATGGATGAATGATACAGTAGATGGTTTGGCTTTTATGATTATCATATGGCTTGTGTTTGCAAATCAACTCAGAGACATATATTGGCGGATTCGAGCGCATGCGGTTGCTTGCTTAATTGTTTATTACATGTGTAATGAGCGAGCGCGAGAGAAATGCATCTATTTTTGCATATGGGTGGTTTACTCTGGTTCGGTTGAATGGGTGATTGTGAGACATAATTTGAGTGGTGGCTATGGGAGAGTATTATGGTCGGGTGTTGGGGGGGGAGGACTGAAGTGGAGGGAAAAGATAAAAGCGTTGCAAGGAATGAAAGAGTATATTTGCTATAGGAATGAAATGGGATGGTTGTACCTATGTCAAGAAACTAAAGATGAGATCAGATAAATAGTTGATATTCATGATGATTTTATCTCGTGCTTCGGATTTCGTTGTGCTTCCTTGCATCTCTCGCCTCGCTTATGATTCGTCCTGCTCATTTTGCTCACTTGGAAGTTGGTGCACTGTGAGTACAAACTGGAGAATGTGTAGTTCATTACTCATATTATTGCTTATTGTAATTATGTTGAGAAAGCTTAAGTAGGCACATGTGTTGTAGATAGTAATGTCGCGAAGATTTAGAAATAGCAGAGATCACAGTGGTACAACTTCTTGGACATGAGGTGAAGCACCGTTAGAAGCCATTTTCACCATACTAGTTAGATCAAGCGATAGTTGAAAATCTTAAATCCCTCTGAGGTTTGTAGATATGGTTTACTCCGAATTATTGCAGTTAGTTGAACACAGATGTAGATTAGGAATATCTCCTGGAGGGGCGTGAGACTAGAATCGGGTAGAGGTTCGTTAGAACGAAAAGGCTTTATTACTTATACTTTATACCTACATCATGTGCATTGGATTGAGGGAAACCATCATGGAAAGTCTAGATGTAGTAGCTTCTTATCCCTTCTTTCCTTTCCTGAAAAGTCGCATTTGGTTTTCAAAAGCATTCCATGGGTTAGGCTAGCATGGAGAATGAGAAGGAAGTCAAACGCGACAAGAAATCTGTGGAAGAATACTAGCGGGATAGAAGAGATTCTTTGTATGCAAAATCGATCGCTGAGAAAGATATGCAAGAATCGGTATCATATTTTGCAATTTTTGAAGATCACAAGACTTGGCAGGTTGGAGATGGATCTCTTTATTTCTTCTCTCGATGCATAGATGTAATACCAATTTCAAATGGGAAAAAAACGATTGTGTATACACTTTATTAACTCACTAACGCAGAATAGAGTATGAGGATGTCCCCGCCTGAAGCTCTACTCAACAAAAGTGCTTGCCGCTCAAATGATTAGTTAGAGCTTATGGTAATGTCTACAGTGGCACTCCTTGCTGGATCCGGGCTGTTAGTATGCATACATTTGTTCTTGTAATCTCTGCCCCTGCAACCAGCGTTGCAAAACTCCCATCCTATCCTATCCTTGAATCAAGGATAGGTAGAATAGCTTCAACTTGAAGGCTAGACAGGATAAGAATATATGTAGAATTCCTAGGATATAGTAGAATTTTTGGGGCTCAGGACAGGATAGGACGGATAAGAATGATTAAAAAATCTATGTAATTTTTAATTATAATGTAACTTATGGTGAACCGGGTCATATGGGGAACCGGGTCACAAAATTCAATTCTCTTTATATAATCTTGTTCTACAAGCTATATATTCATCCAATTCTAATTCTAAATTACTTGAACTATTTTCTAACTTTTCTTCTTCAATCTTCTTTTCTAATTCTTTAATTAAATATTTACATGATTATTTTCGTAGCTTTTTTCTTTAGGTTTTTTTTTTACTTTATGTATTATTTTTAGTACTTCTTTATTATTAAAAACAAATTAACCTTGTAATTTAATTCTTTTACTTTTAATTCTTTTTTTTTTTCAAATCTCAATTATTTCCTAAACATTAACGAATTATTTCCAAAGTAAAACTATTTTAGCATTTTGAGATTCTACAAGTTTAGTTATTCTTTTAGTATATTAATGAGTTAATAATATAAGAGAATTATTATCTATTAGAGCTTTATTAAAGATCTAATTTGCTTATCTTAGCTTTGTTCTATTTAGAAAAGAACTTCTAAGTATAAATAAATCTAGATTTTGATTAAAGGTTCTTATTTGTAAAGTAAAAGGTTGCTAAAAGGAATTAAATAATAATAAATCAAGTACTTTTCGTAAGGCAAAAAGTACTAAACTAGCTTCTTTCCAGTTAGCTTTAATATTAAAAGAATTCAATGCTTTTTTTCTAATATTTTGAAAAAGTTTTATTCATTCAGCTCTTTAGATTTGCTTTACATTAGTTCGAAAATATCAATTGATCTTTAAAGTATGATATCGTTTTATTAGCCTATATATTACAATATCAAATAATTAAAGTAAGTGGAAGTAATAAGGAGGTAATATAAGTAAATTAATATCCTTTTCTATATAAAAAATAATAAAGCTATTTATAATATAACTTGAATAACCATTTATAATCAAAAGTTAAGATCGATTATCTAATACTTTTTTAAATTCTAATTCGAAAATCCTTTTTAGTTATTCTAATTTATAACTATTTGAAATCTATTTATTTGTATTAATAAAGAATTATTAGTTTTAAGGTATATTCTTTAAAATCTATATAGAATTTGTATTCTAAACCTTGAAAATGATTATAGGTGATAAAGCCTTTTCAGCTATATTGATATATTCAAATATAGTTATTTATTCTTACTTATTAACTGTAACTTTTCAATTCGATTTCTGAGTAGAATTAATTATAATATATATACTTTGAGTACTTCCAACTTCAAATCCAATTTCGTTTATATTATATATATCATTTAATTTATATTTTCGTTTAATAAAACGAATACAAAACATATCAAATCAAATTTGAATATTTTCTAATATTGCCTCTTTAATCCAATTAAATTCTAATTGATATAAATAGTATGTTTTAAATTTTGAATATCGTTTTTGGAATCTATAGATTCATTTATAATCTATAAATGGAATTTCTATTGAAATAGGAATTCGAAATAATGTGATCTGAATGTATCGAAAACGAATTTTGTTGACTATTTCCTTTATCAATATAGTGTTACGGGAGCTGCCTCTAGGGTCACGTGGAAGTGTCTAGAGATCTCTCGAGGTGGTTTAGACTAGACTTCAAGTAGGAATTCAATAAGGTTGGTAACTGGTTGCAATTCTCGTAACTATAGTAATGAAACTAATGATTGTTCTTGAGCACGAAGCTCTACATTATAATGAAACTCATTCCTTTATATAGACCTTCCTGCTCTACGAAACCCATGGTTCTGTTCTACTTGGATCCCTTGGATCCTAAGCTCCAAAGGCTCCAACGTCCTGTCACATGACACTCGTCACGTGATCCAATGTTACCCGTCGTAACATATAGGTGTAATAAGGAATCCAATAATGATAAGTTGTAAAATCCATTATATAAGAATATTTTCTTTTACATTTGAAAGAATTTGAATCATTTCATGGGATTGAGTATATAATTTCCTTCTAGTGACTCTAGCTATAAGAATTGACTTAGGAACTTCAAAATACTCTATAGCCTTTCTAATTGATTTAAATTCCTTTAATTGAAGTATAATAATAGTATTCTATATCTTCTTTTCAATTTGAGAAAGTGTAAGAGGTGATTCAATATGTATAGTAAAATTTGTTAGGGTTTGAAGTCAGTGATGGGCTAAATGTGACCCGGTTCCCCATATGACCTGGTTCACCATAAGTTACATTAATTAAAAAATAAAGTATTTTAGAAGTTCAATAATGTTGAATTTATTTTTGCTATCATTTTGAGTGAATAAGCTTTTCTTTCTTTTTTCGATTGGCTTTAAACATGATATAATATTAGTAAATTTTAATTTTAATTTTTTATATTCAATCAATATCAATCGTGCGATATCACCTCTATCCTCCCATCAGGATGAGGATAAATAAGGGTTTTTTAAAGGATAGGAAGGGAGAGGAGTTTCAGGAAATTCACAGGATATAGGGCCTCCATTCTAGGCCTAGGATAGGATGGAAGAGGAGGAGGATGGGAGTTTTGAAACGCTGGCTGCAACTAAGAAGGCCTTCGGACCTCTTTTTTCATTGCAATCTGCTAGCTGTACGGTTGCTCTTCTCCATCTACTGGTCACCTCTCAGTGGCTATATGCATTCGGAGACCTAGATGGTTCTTAAGATTGAATAGTCTGATTCGTATCTATACAACTACCCAGTTTGATTATATGAGTCCGTAAACGGAATGCAATCATAGGCTTATACGGCTAAACCTGAACGCAATTCAACCCCTAAGCAGCATGACGAGGGAGTTTGGAAAGGAAAACTCACGGGAAGACACTGTGAAATATTGAGAAAAAGCTACTGGCCAAGGAATGACATTCCTCGTTGTGTTATTCAGAATATGCAAATCTCAGTCGTGATTTCCTGATATCCCAGCAACCTCAATATAGTGATACCAATGATCCGCAAGTTAGCCCCCCGTAAGTTTTCGATTCAAAATAACATAGCAGCAATCTGAATATTACATCAAGTTACCAATCCGTGCCCAGAAAGGAGGTGGCTTTGATTTTGACAACTAGCTACAACCTTCCATATATAGACCTGTTTACTAGACTTAAACTTACAGAACTCTCCTCGTTTACTGTGACATAGACAAGAAAATAAGCTGTCACACCAGTGAATTTTTTCTTTGTAGATAGGGGATATGCTATCACAATTCTTCTATGCCCTCGAGTAATCTCGTTGAACTTGTATTAAGCCTGCGACTCTCTCTCTCTCTCTAGTTCTTTTCCATTTATTTCATTATCAAACTGCTATTAATAATTTTGGGAAACTACCAGTCCCGTCACAATTAATCATAGTCTCTCTCTTCTAAAAATATCTAATACATCACTACTTCGCCTCAAGAGTGGCTACGAAATAGCTTGACGTGAATTTCTTGAACGCGAATCTCATGGTGAAACATTCATGCCAAGGTGTAGTACTGTTGTTAAGAACCTACTGCACAGACATCTTGGAAGGAAAATTGGACTCTGTCATCCCGCTCGACTATCTGAACAAGCTGCAATGAGTCAATTTTACATGTCCTTCTGAGGCTGTCCGTATCATACGTGGAAGCGTATATTTTTAGGTCTATATCTATCGCTTGCAGCTTATCCCATTCATATCTTGTACCGTCAGTATCGAACCCTATATTGGATCTACACAGAAGAAAATCCAAAGAGAACCGTCATGGATTGACGGCGGCATCTTGTATCTTCAACGGTACGTGATCAATCTCAATCTTGATATTTAATGCTCTCGACAAAGCCACAGGAGTTCATATATACCCATGGCTTGTGCGCTGCTCCGCATCACTGAAGATCCTGACCCTTTCAAGTTTCTTCATTAACAGTTTCCAAAAGTATGTATACAAGCAAGCTTTAGCAACATTTCTCTACATCTGATACGGAATGGGTTACCTTCCCAAAACCCTCATCATATCTCTACAGCATCCCACAAGGAGAACATATTGATATAATATTGTAGGCAAAGGATATACCGGTCTTAACAGCAGAATTGTATCAACTCGGTCAGATGGGCTTGAAAAACTTGGGGCTTCAACACCAAAGGCAGTACGAAAAAATCACAATATCGAAGAAGAGGCCCTCGCGCTCCAGACTAAGAGATCCCGCTCACTTTCTCTACAACATGAGCTGACAGTTAATCCGATCTCTAGTAAGAGAGTGCCATCAAGGCGAAGTCACTTCTACAAAAAGCTCTTGAAGGTTTACCACAAGGGGATGGGGGACGCCGCCGCTATGCCACTTCCAGATGAGGATGATAAGAACTAAATGACGAAGCAACACTTCAGGCCAATATCAGAGGGATAGCAAGCATGAGAGCACGGTGGTTGAATTCATTTGTACATATAGTAACGAGTTCTTGGCATTATATGGCTGTTCATAGGAGAAGCTTGATTACAAACAATAAGAGCTCTTCTCACAGGATGTAAAATATGATAGCTTTCCTCATCTTTTATTTGTGATACGTACATGCATGAGCTTAATTTGACATGGATCCAATAGCTATAGGCTACAAGGTCAAATGAAGTCAACTAACGCCTCATCATATGATACCAGCGGGAGGAATCGGGTATTCATGGAGGGCGAGACTGTCGATTTCACTCGAAAGGAAGCAAGTGGATGAAAATATCATTCGTTATTACATAATAATTTCCGTGCCACAGGGCACAGCCACCGCCACACATGGCACATAAGAAGTGCTGAGGTCTTCATGGAGAACCTTTTCAAGCCAAATTTATTCATCATACAGCCACTACATTTATTCTCTAATACTACAAGAGATCATTGCCAGGCAGAAAAGACAGAAATCATACTCTCAATCATTCACCACCCCTCACACAAAATGCCATCCTTCACCGAGACCCCCTCATCCACAGCCAATGCGGCCCCAAACACCACTACGGCTGACACCTCAAACCAATCCACAGACACAGTACACAAGACCGAAGCTCAACTAGAGGCGGACAGACTGTACGAGGAAAGAATTGAGGAGGAGTATGCTAAGAGAGAAGGCGGTGCTTAGGATGAACAGGAAGACGTTAACATGGAGAGACTTCTCTGCCACGTTTCTTCAGTGGCAAACCAGGAATGAAGTGGCATCTGGGAACTATCGAGAGGGGCAAGCAACGATATTGGAGGATCAAGATATCTAGAGGATCCTGCACACATATAGCATTAATGATATCACGTCTCTCTTTATGCAACTCCGACATCTTTCAAGTGAAATCTGAATTATTACATATCCTCATGACCTCGGGCCTTTCGGAGTTACGGAGTGAGACCCCTCGCATCTATCTCGGGACCGTACTTAGTCTGGCTATAGCATTGCAGCGGTAAGGATATATGAAAATTCAATGCAGAAGAAAAATGTTCTAGAAAGCACGGATATGTCAGCCTTCTCGGCCCATTTGCGAGCCCGTCCCTTACGGCATAGAAAGCTTGAGGTTGTATGTATGACATGAATATTTTCAGCCAATCCAGTCACGGATATTGTAATAAAGCCGTTGAAACGGCCAATGAAACCACGGATATTAGCAACCAAGACGGGGTTACAGAGAAGCTAGCTGCTAGACATTTGACAACGCGGAGGTTTGCACTTGGATTCGAAGCTCCGGGTTGATCAAAGCGTCTGTGTTATGGACCATGGTGGACATTGGTGGTGTGGTAACTGGGACCATGCACCACGGAGTCAAGGAACCAGAGCAGAAAAAGTTTGAATAGAAATGAACCGTTGAATGTGGAAAAGGTTTGGATTAGAATGGAAAGCAAGAAAGCAAGAGAGCAAGAGAGCAAGAGAGCAACATCAAATTCAGTGCCGATTCCTGGTAAGCCCAAAGAGAGATAGCGGTAGGAGATATCGCAATCCCCAATTGAATGAAGCTTTTCACGCCTCCATATCTACATTTTCATTGACTGTACAGCACCAGTATCGTATGGGTATCGCTATCGAAATGAAATATTACATTCCATTCTCTCAACTCCTTCAGGATAAGTGCAATCAGACGGAAATACTCCATGCACAAAGAAACGACCAGGTAGGAAGAAACTAACCAACAATTTATTAGCCCCATCAACCAATCGACCAATCATCGCTGCGATATTACCCACGTTGGACGAATCAGAATCGAGGTAATTAATGGTCAGCAAGACCCTCAAATATTCAAACAAGCTTGGAAACCTTTGAATGAAGCCCGTGGTCCAACTAACAAACCAACTGAGATAATCCTGGAATATAAATACCTAGTAGCTTCCAAAAAACCTAGGTAGGCAATGTCATCTAGATTATAACTACCACCAACCATACCATCCAACACATATAAAGATCTCAAGTGTCCTCCCATTTCCGTTCTCATTCATAAGCCAAACCTTACCCTGAAAATCTGTCACTTCATACACGCTCAACCAGAGGTACGAAACTATCAAACAGTGGAAAAGATCAAGAATCAGAACAACCTCCAATTCGACTCCATATTGATATCAAAACCATCTACCTCGTTTCCCTTAAAAGTACAATTGTAGAAGATACTAGGTAATTACTACATATCTTCGTTGAATGACATTACGAGTCAACTACAACGTCTCCCAAGAAGAAACCCAACATAACTTAAGAGCCACACACCACCACCAACCGGAATCATGGTTTTAGCTGTCCTTAAAAACATCTTTTTCTATCAATCTGTCACTCCCAAATCGCCCAAACCAAAGCGAGAACGAGGAGTTCCAAAAATCGATTTCGTTACATCTAGACAGCCTCTCTTACCAAATAGCAACACAATCCACAACATCGAATCGGTCGACGGAACTCACGATGATGATGAAAGTACTTTGGATTTAGAATCTCAAGATTCTAGATCAGAAAAATCCTCGAAGAAGAAGGGATGGAGAATTGACGCGAGAGTTATTTCGGATGCAACTATTGGTTTGAGTGATGGGTTGACAGTACCATTTGCATTGACGGCTGGATTATCGGCTTTTAATGATTCAAAAATCGTTATAGGGGGAGGAATGGCCGAGTTGATTGCAGGGGCCATTTCTATGGGATTGGGTGGATATCTTGCTGCTAAGAGTGAACTGTGAGTTTACCCCACAAGTACATCCAGCAAAAGAATGAAGTTATCATCAATGAGTCTGCCTCCACAGCAGTGGCCCCCGGAGGGCCAACGGAGTGGCATCAAAGTTGAGATCAGACTGACTAATAATTACATTAGTGCATCATATCATGCTACACGAGAAAAGACTCTGGAACGAATCGAAAACGATCTTCAAGGCGTCTTAAACGATCTGATGGAGGAATATGAACCATACGACTTTCCCAAAGAAGTCATCACCGGTCAATCAACTCATCTTGCTCAAATGCACCCAGAGCTTCTCACCGACTACGTAATGCAATTCCAACATTGTGAAGAGGAACCCGCTACATCCCGCGCTTTTACATCTGCTCTTACAATCTCGATGGGATATTTCCTCGGTGGTTTGTTACCTTTATTGCCATACTTTTTCGTATCCACGGTTGCCGAGGGATTATATATCTCAGTTGGGGTTATGGTGATAACACTATTTGTCTTTGGATATGTCAAAACGGGTATGATAACAGGATTCCAAGCGAAGTGTATAGGAGGTAATTGCTGGGGTGCTGCCGAGATGGTTCTCATTGGAGGTGTAGCGGCGGCGGCTGCGATGGGATTAGTGACATTATTTCAACCCGGAGCGTAGATGCGAGAGGGGATTTGTCGGTCGAAATTATGGATAGGCGAATGGGATATGGTTGAACGAATTTATGAATTGATGATGGCGTTCAATGGATGGATTTGGTAAATCAATTATGGAAGGAAAATGGGTTTGGACGGTGGCGTTCAAGGAAAATACACTCTCGAGAATATCGATCGAGTGGTTTTATTCCTCTCTGTATCTGTTCATGAATAGGACAGCTGTTTCAATAGCATTGGGGTTGGGCAAAGGAATATTCAATCAGGCAATCTTGAACAATCTATATTAATTCCATTGAATATTTGCCTATAAGAAAATCTTGCCATCAGCTTGAATAAAACCTTTGTTCCTTTTCGCTTCGCTTAACATACACATATCCCATTCTTAGCAGAATGGGACATCCGATTTGTACGAGTGTACGATTATTCCCCAAGATCAGAGAACAGCTCAAATCACCATCTCTGATACTATCAGTCAGTAAGATTGAGTCATTGCATCTCACCAACATATTATTCTTTCCTCTTCTCATCCCATTTGTGAATTTTTCGAACTACACACCTTCCATTCTCCACCCTTAAATGAATACCCATCCCTCTTTCTCAACCCTAACCACAGTTTCATCAACACCCACCCACCCAACCACTACACCCACATGTCCCCAGCCAACTTCGAAAACAAATCGATTTCTCCAAATTGAATGTGTGAGAGATATGAATAAACACTGATGATGTCGATCGAATCTTTCCTTGCATAAGCTGTTGTGTTGTATTGTGTTGACTATGAAATGTGCAGTATATCAATTGTTATCACCATTTCCGATTTGATAGGTGTATAAGCACAGGAGGGTGAGAGATACCAAGCCCAGAATGATATTACAGAGAGAGCAGAGAAGAGAGTGCGCTACTCCGGCCTGAGGAAGTTGATAAATTCCGTTCCGGTTGAGCTGGTAGGAGAAGTTGATTTCATGAACCTGCTATAGTGTAGATGGGGATTTGAACGGTAGGGAGAGTAGATGGTAGGGTTATAGAGAGAGGGATGTTTGTCTGTTCGTTTGAGGAGAGAGAGGAAAAGAGAAGAGAAGAGTGGTGATAGTGCTGGAGTACTCATTAGTTATTAATTTACAGAGGGGAGATAGACAAAGCGATTATTTCGTCGGTGGTGAGGATCTAATGTTGATAATGGGAATGTCAGCAACGAGAATATTTTCACATGATTACCGGTATTCGTGACTATGAAAAAATAGTTTCTCACAAAGTTTGTGGCATCGAAGGGAGATCCTGTTTGCTCGGGGTAAGATTTTCACGGTTCACAGGATAGACCTTTACGCACCTGACTACATTTCTCCCACCTTCTTGTGCAACCCAAGTCACATAAGAGCACGGTATCGCACTTCCATAACTGCCTCCAATCTAACAAAATAGCAGTCAACGATAATAACAAACGAACGAAACCTTATCCCATAAACCAGAATATTCCCAGCCAAACCAAACCACACCATAACATATGCTATGACACACCCGCATCAAAAAAAAACTCAGCTCCCGTATCAAAAGTACATGCACACTTTGCGGAACAGGTGCAAATTTACTGGTCAAGGTTGTGTTCATGGCAGGCAGGCAAAGTATCTATAATCAAGAATCAGAGTATCACTGTATTAAAACCAGTCCCGATTGGGAGCTATTTTCAATGTTGTAGAATTATTTATGGAATACCTCAAACGAATAATTCTCTTCGACTCGCTCACAGTCATTGCGTCTTTCCTAGATCAGGCCGAAGTGGCAGATAATAGACTGTTTGATTCCTCATCAATCATACAGAGACAACAGTAATCAGGATTAGCGTTCCTATGGGACGAGAGAGGTGATACATTCTGATAGTACTTGGGATCCAGGTATGATTTCCAGATATCTGGGGATCTCAGAGAATGACTGCCTTACTACAATAGATAGCTAGGAGTGCAGTTACATCATAAACTTGAATTGTGCTCGCTAGTTTACATGGCAACATGACATTGCGATCGCCATCCCATAGTTTTATTTTTGTTAACAGTATTGCTCGAATATACATGTGAAGGCTGATGTTCGCATCAGTTGAACAGATTATTACCAACTATTCGTCCGTCCCATAATGATTCCAGCCATCCTGACATACAAATCAAAGTCAACCACCCCAGAAAAAGCCAATCGGTCACAAATGTGGCATCGCACTAAGCTCCCATCATATAAATGGCTCGATTGTCTCCATTAATACCCGCGTTGCAATGAACGGTAGCCTCGTCATCGATTTGTGCTTTCTCGCCAGGAATAACTTGACCATCGCTGGCCACTGACCAGCAGCCAGCTCCCCTACCACCAATCGGAGCATATCCCACACCACGCTCCATTCTGAATCCCTCATGATGGTCCCTAAAAACGCCCTTTATTCCACACCAAATCCGCTTTCTTAATCCTTGTTTGACTCCTAAAGGCAACGCAGAGTAATCTTAGTAAATATTCCTGGGATAACAAACAAAGCAACGTGAAAACAATGCTAAAACCGACTAATATCATTCAACCAATCTCCCAAGCCTCGCTGCTTTTTCACTGTCCATCAAATTCTCCAAGCCCACGGTAATCTCCTCGACCTTCCCTTCCAGGTTAAGCTTCTCCTTTATCTCATTAATTCTACCAGAAACTCTCTCAAGCTTACCATCAGTCGTCGAGCCTGCATAACTAGTGTGGCTCAATGCATTCGCCTGGATCATCCAAGCCTTGTGACCCAATTCGATCAGCGTTGGTCCGAATTTAGTCAGTAGTTCTTGAACTATTTCATTTGTTGGCTCCTCCTTGACTAGACCCAGGTTATCTGGACCTCCAAATGTGGCATAAAACTGTAGGTAATCAGTTAGTTGTGTTGATAGAATTAAGATTCCACAAAGGGCCCATCTCGCTAACTCAAGGGCAAGATGACGTAGTATGATAGCCATAAAGTTGACGAACTCACCCAGTCTTCCTTCCATTCCTCAATAGCCTTGATTGCCTCTGGATGATTGATTTTAATATCTTTCGCAATCATGTAGAAACTACTTCTTGTAGCATGCTTCTTAACAGGCTTGAAGACTTCAACCTTAGCAAATTTCGAGAATGTATACAACATGAATGCTGATTGCCATGTATCAATCTTGTGTAATAACATAACTAAAGTACCTCCATTGTGCATCCTATTCATGGCAAGAATCAGTTGCGAAGTTTGCAATCGCACTGTTTCCTTGTTAAGGTTGGCATTGTAGGTGTCCTTAATGCGATCATGCGTACGAAGCGTCTTGCCGTCGGCAAACACAAGATGATATTTGATAAACATGAAGGGCTTGACATCATCAAACTCCGACTTGAAATTTTCGGGGATGTTTTTACCTTCTGGACAAAACTCCCTGAACATTGTAATATCATGGTATCTAAAACCGTGGAGGCGTCCCGTGTCGATTATAACTTTGTGCCCACCAAATTTAGGGTCCAGTGTGATGGCATATGCTCTGAAGCTATTGCGGTAATCGAGAGCCGCTGCAGTGTAACCTCCAGGTGCCATGCAGAGATCGAGTATGTTGACCTGACCATCTGGGACGAAAGGTATGTTGAAGATACTGTGAGCATCGTGCATCTCCTCTCCGATTTGTTGCATCATCTTGTAAAATCCGCGTTCACCCTCTAGTGTGGTTGAGTCGGCACGCTCTCGTTGTTGTTTGAAGTGCGCATCGCCGTCTTCTTTGTTGTCATGCCATCCCTATACGCGCTGATTAGTGGCCACACATGAAATTTAAATCAACGAAGTGAAGAAGAATAGCGAAAAGGCTCAAGTCAATGGTCTGTAAGTCAACGCGTGTTGTAATCAACACAGCACAAGATCATACTGAAGCAGTAAACCTTAGAGAGTTAACGAAAAATATCTTACCCTGCTGCGGAGCTCCACAACTCTCTTGCACTCCTCATCCGACAAAATCAAATAAACCTTCAACATTTGTGATGCCTTCGTGGGTCTTTCTCCGTTGGGACCATCACGAATGTCCAAATTATTTGATGCGTCTTCCAGGGTGAGACCGAATAGCTCTTTTGCGAGATCCTCGATGTTCAGATTTTTACCATTATCCTTCAAAGCAGCTAGTGTTTTCTTGAAGCTATCAAGCTCACTCGAAATGAGAAATTCATTGTTGGATGGAGGCTTCATGATTCAAAGGAAACTGTTGATGTATATCAACAATTGGTGTAGTTGTTGGTGGTGAGACAAATATTTGAAAAGACGTTAATGTTTGGGAAAGAAAAAAAAAGGAGTGGGAGAAATGAAAATTAGATTATACAAGAGAATAAAATAAACCTCAAGTTGCTCTTGTTTCAATGGCAAAGATTTGTTCTTTTATTTTGTTGTTCACTGACAAAATAAACGAAAATAAAGTGAAAGTTCGAGGGGGGAGAACCCTCTTGGAAGATGAATAGCTTTATCCGGATTCCGAAATCTTCTTTTCTTGGAATCAGATCAGCAGTGTAAATTTTGTATTTCATAAAGTTGAATTGGTGAGAACATGTAGGATGAGGTGTTAAGATTGTTCAAAAAGAGAGCAAGACCACTCGAGATTGTTGGAAACTGTTGAAAAGGTATTGGGCATCCAATGTGATGGTGCTGTTGATACATGAACTTAACTGGTGTATTAAGGGACAACTTGTAAGAACTGATTGTTCTTGTGAGGTTCTTGATGGGGGGAAGGGAGATGAATGGTTGAAGTATTACACTGAGATCAAACAAAGTTCATAAAAAGTTTCTCTTCAAGACTTGACAAACATGGAAGGCACGTTAACAACCAACTCACCAACCTCGATACACTACTGCTGTTGCCATTTTGAGTGTTCAGCATATCATATCACAAGAACATACAAGCCTTGCGTTGTTAAACCCTTAGTTCGTCAAAATCACACGACATAACATATGTCAACACTTCAATCAAATATAAGATAGAGCTGCTGTCAAATTTTCTATGGTACAAAGTAGCAGCAAATTTTGTGTTTTCTATCTCATGTAACAAACTATGGGTTGGATACCTCACTCCTATCATTCAAAAGAAGAGGATGCAACATTCAATTTGTATTCGCGAAATACGCATGCCAAAAGTGTAAAAGCCATTTTCTGTAACCATTAATCGCGTGCATAAAACCCAAATTTTTCTCGTAAAAAGCAATGCGCCCGACTGACAACATGTCTGTCGAAGACTTTTGGTGGTGGTGAAACTAAAAAGTATGCCGTGGCTATGCCAGAATATGAACATGTAAAAAGCAAAACATG